TGCTGCACATTTTGAAAGTGAACGTGCGCGGCGCTAAGGCGAGAGTCGCATTTTGAAAACGATCCGCCCTCAATGCGAACGTGCGCGGCGCTAAGGCGAGAACCAAATTTTGAAAACCATTCGACTTCAATGCGTGAAGCTCTTGCGAACTTTACGAGTGTCCGCTTCGCTCGGCCAAGAGCCACATTTTGAAACGAACCGGCCTCAATGCGTGAAGCTCTGTCAAGTTTTTACAACGAGTGTGCGCGGCATTACGGCGAAAACCACATTTTGAAAACGACTCGCCCTCAATCCGCGAAACTCTCGTACGTGTTTGCAAACGAATGTGCGCGGTGCAAAGGCGAGAGCCATATCTTGAAAACGAACCGCCCTCCGTCTGTGAAGATGTTGCAAATGAGTAATATTTAATCCGAATGTCCGCGGCGCTAACGCGAGAGCCGCATTTTGAAAACGACCCGCCCTCAATCCGTGAAGCTCGTACAGTTTTCACAACGAATGTGAGCGGCGCGAACGCGAGAGCTACATTTTGAAAACCACCCGCCCTCCATCTACGAAGTTCTTCAAGATTTTTGCGTCGATTGTGTGCGGTGCTACGGCGAGAACCACATTTTGAAAACTACCCGCCCTCCATTTGTGAAACTGTTCTCATCTTTGAGGCTTCAGGATCATTAGTGGTGAGGAAGTCTCAGTTGAAACACCTGGCTCGCCCTTTCGACCGGCCTCGGGGTGCGACAGTAATTGAGGAGGGCGAGGGGGAGGAGGAGGAGGAGGAGGAGGAGGAGGAGGAGGAGGAGGAGGAGCAGGAGGAGGAGAAGGAGGAGGAGGACCAGTGCAAACCCACGAGCCATCGACGACGTTGGAATACACCCTCCCTCCAAGCTCCCTCTTCATAGGCTCCTACAACGGTTCAAGTCCATTGAGGGAGCTGCCTCGTTTGAAGGCAACCATTTGAAGACCCTGAAGTATACCAAAACATTGTTCTCGGAATTCCAACGCCCCGGATCAACCTGATTGTTGCGTCTTGACGATCCTGGATCGTGCCAGGACGCCGTTCGTGGGATTTACACTCCGCGAATCAACGTAACTGTTGTGCCTGCAAAATTTGAAATCCTTCCAAAACGTTATTTATGATACGTTGCTCGTGGGGATCCGTGAAACCCTTCCAATGTTTAGACACGACTGTGCGCGGCGCTAAGGCGAGAACCAAATCTTGAAAAAGGAACCGCGCTCAATCCGTGAAAGCCTGGAAACTTTTTGAAACGAATGTGCGCGGTGCTAAGCGAAGGCGAGAACCACATGTTGAAAACGTGTGATCCTCAATCCGTGAAGCCCTTGCATTTTTTTTGAACTAATGTGCGCGGCGCTAAGGCGAGAGCCACATTTTGAAAACGGGTGATCCTCAATCCGTGAAGGTTTTGCAAAGTTTAATTAGAATGTGCGCGGCGCTAGGGCGTGAGCCACATGTTGAAAACCACCCGCCCTCCATCTGTGAAGCTGTTGCCATCCAAAATGCTTCAGGATCATAAATGGTGAGGAAATCTGTTGCGAAACGACCGGCCCGCTTCAACAACTGGCCTCGGGGTGCGACAGGGGGATTTTTTTTATAACGAAAAATATTGGAGGAGGAGGAGGAGGTGGAGGAGGAGGAGGAGGAGGAGGAGGACGAGGCGAATCGAGGGGGTAGGAGGTCGGCCAGTACAAGCGCGCCTTCCTGGGCATTCCTACCGGGGACGCCTGGGAGCGCTGGCAGGCTGGACATGGGGCGAGAGCACCGCCATGTGCACCGCAGCGAGGTTTTTAACCCGGGACCGTGGCCATCCCGACCAAGAGTGAAGCCAGCACGGAGGCGAGACCACGGTTCCTGAATGATTCGGGAGGGAAGCTCGAGCGAAGCAGTTGCCGGACTGAACGCGCCCTGGCTTCCCGTCCCCCCCCCCCCCCAGTTGGACTCCTCTGTGGTCCTTTTACGGTGGGGGCGTTCGTGAAGGAACGTGCCCAAGAGGCTTCAGCTCCTGGAGGGTTCATGGTCTGATGAGGGCGGCGGTGATATCCGTGGTCAGTTCACGATGGGAATTCCGCCAGCTTCCAGACCCTGGCTTCCTTATCCAACGCTTCCTTATCCAATGCCCTCACCGTGCCGCTGTGAGAACCCTCCCGCGAAACGCTGCTAGGGAGCTGTGCGATGCGTCCCAGCGGGGGTGCCACCTGCAGGCGAACTCTGCGCGGCGCCGAGGCGAGAGCGCGACATGTTGCTTGCCCGCGCTCGACCCTGCTGCCGGCGAAGTGGCGAGCGAAAAAGGAGCGCCATGCTCAAGCTCAGCCACGCGCAGGGGGGGGGATAGGGTGGAGGGGGGAAGGCTTCTTGGAAGCAGCCTCCTTCTAAGAAGCCTTCCCCCGTCTCCCTACCCCATCTGTGCGCGCCTCCAACGCGCGGGAGCTCAATTTTCAGGAAACCCAGCGCGGCGCCGAGGCGATAACGGTATTTCGCCCTTTCGTGCGCGCGCGATGTGCGCGCAGTCCCACACCTCCCACCTATGTCTGCAGCGCCGACGACAAACACCGTCCATGTTGAGAAGGCAAGCGTAGGCAGTGTATTGTTGTCGATTGGTCGGATGCAAGGGTCGGGATGCGGGGGCTATCGGCCGGCTAGGCGGCAGCGCGAGTGTGTGTATATATGTATAATGAAGCAAGCGGAATGGGTCATCAAGGAGCTGGCCCACCCTTGCCCCCAGAAGCCCTTGACACAGCTGGGAAGGGCAGGGTCCTGTCATTTCTTAAGGGAGATGTGCCACACATATATATATATATATATATATATATATTTCACACTGCAGGAACCAATACATATGATACATCTGTGGATAAGTATATTCCGAGCATTTTCTTTGGGTGGAGGGCAAATTGTGAAATCTGAAATGCCGTTTCGACGGATGTTCGAGGCTTGAATCTGCAAACGGTGAATCACAAGACGGATTGATTTTCGAGGTGCAGGAGCCCATTTGGATTTCACCCTGAGCCCTCCACCCTAAGAAAATGTTTAGATAATGCAATTTCAGTTTATAAAAATGTATGCAATACAGAGGAGCCACAATTCCGTCCAATGCGCCCGAGGAGGCGCCGATACCCCTGCGGCATCAGTTGCCAGACGTCTCGATTGCGGGCAGACGTCTTCTCGGGACGTGCCGCTCAGGAGCGCACGGCCGAGAGGAGGCTCAGAGGAGGCTCAGAGGAGGATGGAAGAGGATGGAAGCGGATGCAGAAGGCGGTGGAGGAGGAGGAGGGGGATGGAGGAGGAGGAGGAGGAGGATGAGGATGAGGAGGAGGTGGAGGAGGAGGTGGAGGAGGAGGAGGAGGCGGAGGAGGAAGATGATGATGATGATGAGGAGGAGGAGGAGGAGAGGAGGAAGAAAACGAGGATGAGTTGCTGAGAAACAGGAAGAGGGGGATGGAGGAGGATGATGATGAGGAGGAGGAGGAGGAGGAAGAGGAGGAGGAGGAGGGGGAGGAGGAGGAGGAGGAAGACGAGGATGAGGAGCAGGAGGAATGAGGCGGAGGAACGAGGAGGATGATGATGATGAGGAGGAGGAGGAGGAGGACGAGGAGGAGCAGGATAATGATAATGAGAAGGAGGGACACGGATTGGGAAGGAGAGGAAGATGTATGCGTGGGGGGTGGATGGATCAATGGACGGACGCAAATAATGATGTTTTGCTACCCTGAGGGGGGCGCGACCCGCTTCGTCCACCTCGATGTGGACGTGGTTCCGAAGGCCCGGTCGGCACGCTGCCGCGCTCCTTCCGCTTGCTCCTGCTCCGTCCTTTCCTCAGGATTTCATATGCTCCTCCCGAGGGCCATCCCTTTCTTTCTCTATGTATCCTCAGTTTTCCCCTCCCCCTGCTCCTCCTCCTCCTCCTCCTCCTCCTCCGTTCTTCTTCTTCTTCTTCTTCTTCTTCTTCCGCCTCCTCTTTTCCTCCTCCTCCTCCTCCTCCTCCTCCTCCCTCCCTCCCTCCCTCCCTCCCTCCCTCCCTCCCTCCTCCCTCTCCATTCTCGTCCTCGTCCCTCCTCCTCATCCCTTCTGCCTCCTGCCTTCTCTCTTGTGCTACTTCTTCCTCTTGCTCCTCCTCCTTTCTCCTCTCCTGCCTCTTCCCCTGTCCTCCTCGACGTGACGCTTTGTCCGTCCGTCCTTTCTCTTCTTCTCTCACATTCCTGCGTCCTTCTCTCCTCCCTCCTCTCCTCCCTTGCCCCCACCCCACCCTCCCCCCCCCTATCAGCCTCCTTCTTTCTCTCTCCTCATGCCCGTCTCTTCCTATCCCTCCTCTCTCCTCCTCCTCCTCCTCCTCCTCCTCCTCCTCCTCCTCCTCCTTCTCCTCCTCCTCCTCTTCCTCCTCTCAAGCTCATTATGGCTCGAAGGGGGCTGTCTCACCAGGGCCAGGACATCCTAGTGCTGTACCAACTTGTGCCAGCTTGAGCGCCCTTTGCAGGGACAAAGGTAGGATTAATTTTCTTCCTTCAGCACGGCGCGGCCATGGTGCCTGCGCTGCCGTGTCATGCTATGCTGATGGGGATACTCCTCCTTGGCGCCAGCCGAGTCAAGCATGCAGCTGGGCTTGCGCAGTGTGTGGGGGGTGCCGTAAACAATTTTGCTACGTGGTGGCATTGTAAGCATCTAAGCATTGCGATCTATCAGGCTGGAATTTTCTCAGGAGTGGCCGCGCTCGTGGGCCACCTGGTCGACGCAGTCGTCTTGGGAAACAAAGGTTCAGGAGCTGCCTCAGGCGGTGACAAAGGGTTCGGCAAACACAGTGATGCAGGCTCCCTTCCCCTTCATGCAGATCGTCAGTTCCGAGGTGAACGCTGAGTTTGGTGTCAAAGCGTCGCTGGACATCAAGGAGCTGGAGGGTATCGTCCTCACGCTTCGCCGTCACGGGGATGAGGATTGAGAGGCGAGTAAACTATCCAGCACCACAAGAAGATGCCAGCTCCCGCCGGTGCCCCGCTCCAACAGAGGGCCAACGGCGCTTTCAACGACCCTTTGATCACAAGCGCTGTGCAGTGTTCGAAGATGCAGCCCGGCGTCGAGAAGCAACGTGGGAGGGCTCGTGCATTAAACGAGGAGGTGACAACGACAGAGGCGTTTCACCGCAGTCTGGTTAAGGAGCTCCACACAGCTGTCAACGTTGAACCTACCCAGTCTGCTACCCTGGACGTGGCTGATCGTCTGTCTAGCAAATGCGCGAACACCACCATCAGTATCGAAGGCTTGCTCGGCCACGGTGAGGACGGCATTGCTCTCACGACCGAGGGCCGTGAGGAACCAGATCGTAGGGCCATGCGGCCCAGAACGGCTCTCAAGCAAGCGGTGGTGGCCTTGTCTGGAGAGAATCGGAGGGCAGCGGGCGAGTACAGAGCGGAGCAGAAAGTGCCACTGGCCAGGCTCCGCAGCAAGCGCGCCCGCACCGACGCACCAGGAGCGCCAGTGACCACGACTCTCGCAGGTGACGGCGGTGGGGGAGCCCCGGCCGCGCCTGCGGCCCCCGAGGACGAGGATGCGGGGACGGGGAAGGGGAGTGCGGGCAGCGCTGGGGCCAGCGGCGATGCTGGCGGTGGCCTTGCTCCTGCCGCTGACGCCCAAGCCTGCCGTGCCAGCATTGTTACAAGCAGTTCCCCCCCTGCTCCGTCAGCTGCTCAGCCAGGGCGCAGTGAATCTCAAGGAAACGTGTTTAGGGAGCCCTTCTCTTCGGAGGTTGCCGGGGGGTCCCCTGAGCTTCACCAGGTTCTCGGCGAGGGCCCGTGCTGCCTTTTCAAGGTTTCTTCGAGGCCCAGTGTGTGTGTGTGTGTGGCTAAGGTTTGTCCGTGTGCTCCGCAGAGGAACTCTGGTCGGGTCTCCAGTTGTGTCCCCTTTTCAGTCCCCCTTTCCGGAGCCCAAATGCGGAGATTTTGAGTTGCGGTTTCAAGCTTGTAGTGCCACGTCTTGGGGTCCACTTTACAGGATGGCTCGCTCAGTCCCAAACGTGTCGTGTGTCCATGGACATCAGCTGTCCAGCGAAGCAGCATGCGCGGAGGCGGCTTCGTGGTGCTTGCGCGTTGCCTGGAAAGCCGCCTATCCCCAGCGAGGGCAGGTCAGGGCGAGGGCAGCTCAGGTGGAGTTTCTCTGCTGTGCTTGCGTACCTTGGATTCTACGATCGTCCGAATGGATGCGAGATTGTCCCAAGTCGCGCCGTCGGAGGATTCGCTCACTTGCCGGGAAATACGCAGGATATTTTCGTTGCTTCAGTGATTCTGTATCATTCCAGAGGTCCTTGGACGAGGAATGTGGATATACAGAGTTCAGTCGGCGCTACGTCCACCTTGTATGATCGACAGGCCGTGATGGCACGTGACTTCAACATGGGTCCCGTCGGTATCATTGATAGTGGTTTCCCATATATGTTCCTGGGAGATGTTGTCTTCCCCGAGCGCGAGGGTGCGTGCGGCGCGACTTGTGGCGTGAAAGTTCTGGACTTCTTCGTGGTCTCGTCTGGTATTTCAATTGTTATCATGGAGCTGGAGGTGGTCCAGACGTTCCAAGATGCATGCGTCGGCTTTCGCCGATCCGCCGCCCATCCCGCCCATCAAACCGATGGGTGATGGTAAGTGCCCCATGCTTCGAACTGTGTTTTGCACGGGGCTGCGGCGCTCGTGGATTCGATCGGGCCCGGGGCTGCGGTGTCCGAGCAGGACCGCGAGCTCTGTGGGTTTTTAAACGTTGGGCGCGTGTGGCGGAACTTGCGGTCGGCGATGCAGCGCATGTTGCCCTTCCCTATCTGGGGGCGGGATCCAAGGTTCCTAGGTCGCGCTGGGGAGATGCCCTCCAGGGGCGCGGGGTCGCGCGCAGGCTCCCGCAGCTCTATTCCAGGCCGCGCGCTCCGCCAGTGGATCCTGAGCGCGCTCGACGCTAGGGTTTGTGGCAAGAGGGAGGGCCTGCCGAGAGAGATCCACAGCGAGTCAGATCAGATCTCGCTTCTTCCGAGCGGCTGATCCCCGAGTTGCTGGATTTCACCAACTCGGCCGCGGCAAAGGAGGACGCCAGGGAGAGAAAGGAGGGGGGGGGCATGTCAGAGGAGGAGGGGGCAGCGCCATGGAGGGTCTCTTGGTCGAGGCTGCAAAGGCTGTTAGGACTGGCCGGCCTGGCGATGCGTTCGCCGACTCTTTTGGGGGCGTTGAGGAGGCGGACGAAGCCAGTCGAGGTGGCGCCCCCCCCCTGTTCCCGCGCGTGGCACCGCCCTGAGTCGAAAACCTGGTTCATTGTTTGGCTTGTGTTCCCTTGGGCGGAGGGCGCGGCAGCGAGGCCGCGCGCTCGGGGGCTGCCCGCTCGGGGGCCGGGTCTCGCCGCGGATCCTTCCCGCCGCGAGGTGCCGCTGGAGGATTTGCTCCGCTGGCGCGGCGCCGCCGCGGCGGGCCGCTCGCGCTGCGGCCGTGGCCCGGTGCCTGAGAGCTCGGAATGAGCTGGCTCCGATCCAGCGGCGAGCCGGGGGGTGGGCGTGCCCGCCCAGCCCGCGGGCCCGCTGCGGGGTGGGGGCCTCCCGCCACCTTCGGCAGGCCTGGGGCTGCGATCTTGGGCCCCCCTGTTCGCGGGGGGAGATCGGGCTTGCACTTGTTTATTCGGGGCGTGGGGGGGCTCGCGGGGGGCCGGGGCTGAGGGGGCGCGTGGGTGCCGTGCGACCTCGGCCGATCTTGTCCGAGGGTATTGCGCGTGCTGTCTCTTGGAGATGCCTCGCGTGGGCGGCCCGCGGGTGGGCGGGTTTCACGTGTGATGCAATTCTTGGATGAGTGACGACTGTGTCAAGGTCCTGTGCCTTCTCATCGCACTGATGGAACCTGTTGCCGCCCTGCTCGTGCAGCTCCAGGTGGTGCAGCCAGTCCTTCTGATGGGGCCGCGTGGAGGTTGGTGGCTAATCGGCCTCTTCTCCCCCCTTTGCAGAATATGGGGGGGGGGGGGGCTGCCGCAGATGCTGTGTCCTGTAGTGGGCGGTCGAATTCCAGACCTCTTTATTCTGGACAGTCTGTCGCTTCGGCTAGTGATGTTGTCTGGAGGCGAGGGTTTGGAGCCGAAGCCGGGGTGGCCAGAGGGGGGTTGCAACTGTCATATCTAATGGCCTTCGGCCCAGCCCGCGAACGAGCCTGGGTTGCGGGCGTGGGGCCTTCTGGGATCTCGCGGAGGGCCTCTCGGGGGCCTCTTGGAGGAAGTTTTGGGGGCCTTCGGGGCCGTCGTGGCCTCTTGGGGCTTCTTTCGGGCCGCTCGGGTGTCCCTTGGGGGCTCCTTGGGGGCTCTCTTGTGGCCTCCTCGGCGCCGGCGCCCTGGCCTCCTGGTGACCTGCCGGGGCGGAAGGCTAGGATTTTCGGTTTGTGTTCCCTCCTCTTTGGTTTCTTTTGGGCCGTCTTGGGGCCCTCTCGGGCCGTCGCGGGCGCTGCTTTGGCCGGCGTGGGGGCCCCCTTGGGCAGTCCTGGTCGCGCCAGGGCGGTTTCTCGGGCCGTCTTGGGGCGGTCTTGGAGGCGTCGGGGGGATGGGGCGGCGACGGTGGCGCGCAGACTTCCGAATGCCTAGAGAAAATACATGGTTTTGGCTTCTTGGGGCCTTCATGGGAGGCCTCTCCGAGGCCTCCTGCGGCACCTTCGGGGCTTGTCTCGGGCCGTCTTGCGCGTCTTGGGGCGATGTTTCGGTGGCTCGGGGGCCTCTGGGGCCGTCTTGGGAGGCGGGCTCTCTCGGCCCGTCTCTGGGCCCTCTCGGGC